TACAAGCCAGACCAGAATCCAGACTAGCCTGCACCAAGATCTGTGTTATTTTGACTTTGCTGCCATTGTTACCGGAGGCAGGAAAATTAAGCCAAGCCAAGTATGCCACAGTCATGCCCATGTGGAAATTCATAATCTATCATTAACTATGCCACAAGAACTCAGGGGTGGAGGCCTTACTATAACTTACAACCCTCTTCCAGCATTTTGCTTATATCTCAGTTCACGCTAACTTGCAAACAGATGTTTGAGAGAAGGAGAGGCATTAGGAGTGTCAGATGCCGTGACAATGTTAGCAACATTAGATTTGCAAACATGATTCACAAGATAAAACCAACATTTCAAAGGAAGTCATAGTGTTAAAACCATTCTGCCCTGTTGCGGGTTTTCTGAGCTGTTTGTAACAGAAGAATCGTTCTGTTTTCCTATAGTCAAAACACGAATGAAAACCAAAAGCTGACATTTACCTATGGGTGCGCCTCAAGCCTATCAAAGTTAGAACCATTGATAAAGGGATACGAAGTTAATCTGATAAATATAATTCTGTTTTGTACAGTATCTAGCACCAGTATGTCCTCACTCTTGTTTGAGGGTCTTCTGGCTTTATTGCAAGAAAATTTTTACTTGCATTAACTAGGGGTGCACCGATAAAGATTTTTTGGGCCAATACCAATGGCTGATTATTAACAACTCATATCGACCGATACCAATCCAATTGCCAATATGCAGCACAGCAGCTTGAAGAGCAGAGTCCAGCTGGTAAGTCTGTTGAAAGGGAAGAGGTGTGGGGAGAGTTGGGGGGTGCAGACTGAGGCCCTCACGATGAGGGAGGAGAGGGGCTGGGACAAGCACTGCCCAGCTGGGACAGGGTGCAGGACAGAGCCACGAGCTCCCATCCAAGAGCAGCTGCTGCCTGCCCCAAGCTCAGCCCTGGCCCAGCACCCCACCAGGAAGAGCCCAGGGCCACCCCCAGCCCTAGCAGCAGCCCGCATTAGCCGCATGCACAGATCCAGGGGGCATATGCCCTCCTTGTCCTGTTCAGGGTGGCACACAGCAGCAGGATCCCCCTTCCTTCCTCCCTGCAGGAGCAGCTCATGACACTGTCCCATGCCCTGCCCAGGGAGCGCCTGCCCCTACCCCAGTCCCCCTCCTGCCTCACTCCCCCCTCCACACCCCTTCCCTCTCCTCTGTCCCTTCACCCCGACAGACTTACCAGCCAGACCCTCTCCAAGCTGCCAGGCCAACCACATACATGCTTCAGCTGCATGCATGCACATGGCATTTATAGGCAACATCAGCCAGAAAAAAAACTGATTGCCAATAATGTCAATTTTCCTTTTATCAGTACTGATACAATATAGACCAATGCATCGGTGCACCTCTAGTATTAACTAGATCTTGTTCTTTTTTTCCCCCTCTCAAAGAAATGGATCAACATTAATTATTGTGGCTGCTGAACAGGCAAGTGTTAAAATATTAGATAATGATAACCAGGCAATATTTTTAAAATAAATACAAAATAGAAATATTTTGCAAGCTTTTCTACAAAATTTAAAATCAAGGTCAAGTATTAGCAACGTATAGTTGTTAACATTTAGAGGCACAGTAAAATCCTCACAAGAGCAAGTTTAACATCAAAAGTGGACTTTTAAAAGCACTATCGTTATCTTAAAATGCTGTTTAATAATAACCACTCTCTTACTGTAGTTCATTGTCACACCCCAAAATAAACCCAAGTCTCAGTTATCAGAACTAACCAGTTTTTGCCATTTTAGGCAATAAGGTTTCAATTATATTCATCCTACCTGTCCCAGGAAACGAGTGTTCCTTCTCTGTAACTCTCTTCTGGACCACCACCCTACAGTAAAAAAAAGAAGAAAAGATTTTGATTATGCATGAGAATCCAAACATTTGTCAGCATTTCCATAATGAATCAAGATTAAGGGCTTCATAGCTTAGCCTAACTTAAAACTGAAACATGATTTAACATGTTCTCAGCCTTGGGTTGCCCTCTGCATGCATTAAACTGAAGCAAGAGCAACAAATATGCAGCTCAGTAACAATGTGCTAACTATTTTATCAGTACAGCAGTGCATACTGGCATAAAGTCAAAGGTCAGGATTGAGTGCATTCTATAAAAAGTCACAAGATTATTTTGAGATTCTAATTGTTGGAAAAATAAAACTGAAAGTCCAGTTTGAGACTGACAAAGACACTCCAAATGAAGGCCAGTGCTCATACTCAACATTCTGCTCTTCAGCACAATAGATTTAATTATACAAAGGGTTCTGGCAAAGATCCTCTTGTTCATGAAAATCCTGTATACTTAAGGAACTAGATAATCATAACTCTTATGGTACATCACACTCAGGAGCATTATTAATGTCTGTCAAATTATATATAGGAACAGAGATAGGGCCAAAAAACAAGGTTTAACTATGTTATGATGAAGTTGTTTCATCGTATTTCATAAAACTAAACTGAAATGCAAGATAATTCATTGAACTAAAATGAAATAAGATTTTCTGTAAAGTACTTGTGTTGGAAGGGTGCACAGTATAAAGATTCAACTATGTTCATGTTAAATGTGCATTCTAGCCCTCCTGCAATGAAGAAAAAGTTGTAAGAATGCTATTCTGTAAAATTAATAGTAGCATGCTTTATAACAAAAAATTCTATTACTGTAAAGTAAAAAACACAAGAGTGAGTTTACTAGCATGTTTTGTGGTACTTACAGATACCCTGGAGCTGGCTCTCACTCTGGCTACAAATTCCTTCTCTCTCTCTGCAGCTTGCCTTTGGAGCTTTTGGAAGTTGGTTAGCGCAGTAGTAAACTCACCTACAAGACGGTCTTTTTGTATTTTTCTTTGACGCTACAGAAGGAAAGAAGTTGGACAGCATTTTTAGAAAGCTGATCAAACTCGCTGTTATTTCAGACTTCAATACCTTATGTCAAGGGTTCCCAAAAGTATTCCATAGTGTGACCTACATGTCAAATAGAGAATGGACAGGTTCCCTCCCAATTTCATTGCACAAACCACTTTCTGTTTAATCTAGGGTCACACAAAACATTTGCAGAAATGCAGTATTAGGAACCCAATGCATTTTTAATTGTTATTGTTACTGAACAGGTTACTATAAGGACAGGTCCAGGCATCTTTCTGTTAGCAAACAGTTAAAATATCAGTTTTACTTATTATGTATTAACCAGGTAATTAGTTAACTGTGCAGCCACTGAGTCATTTCGTTAGTGAAATTTAAGCTCTGTGAAAACAGCCAGAGCAAGGAGGCACTGAGGCCTTCTTCAACTAAAAATGTGCTGAATGTGTTCCACGTAATATCTAATGAAAGAGATCGGCTTGCCCCCAGGTGCTCCACTCTGTTACAAAAAAGCATCAATTTCAGTTTTTTATTCTGACTGTACTGAGACACTAGGAGTGCAAAAGTTCCGATCTAGATTTTCATGCCCACATACATGAACTCTCCCTTTGATTTTGTCATTTGCAACTTGCCCTTGGTCAATCAACACCACCTCTCGTCCTAGAGTTAGGTGTGAGGATGGTGAAAGGCATCTGGTTTAACACCACAATTAGATTCTCACCCCAAATTTTCCACTTTGAGTCAAGCAAGAGATGCTTTAAAACAGCTTTAGGTAAAATGTTATCTAATGTACCAAACTTAAATCTGAAAATGTGCAAAAATCTTAAACAATATTTAACTGACAGTCTGTGTACCAGACATTTAAAAAATCTCTTGATCCTGAAGTCAAAATGCTCATCAGCAGCAATGTATGATAGCAATTCTCATCCTGAAGTCAGTTCTGAATTTTGCTGTTACTGAGACCTGTTCCAAAGCAGCTTACAAAGCATCGTATATTGATTGTAACAACGCAGGATTAATTTGTTGTAAAATCTAGTAACATGTACAAAATTGAAGTAATTAAAATACTTTAAGAGAACTACAGATCAAGTGATCAGTGTTTTTCAGTTTTATACCTGTTCACTTGTTGCAGGCAGAGCTCCAAACTCTTTAATGTATTTGTCCGTTTCTTTGGCAAGCTGGTTCGTGTATTGTTGCTTCTGTTGCCTAGACCAAGTGCAAAGTTTCATTACAGCCAGCAGGGGGTTATTTTGCTACAACAAGTTGGTGGATGAGAAGTGTTTTTTTAGAATAATGTTAAGTGTCTTGCTAAATATTTATGGCATTTCCATTCCATTCTTCAGTACATCTCAGAACTGATCACCCAGAATTGTTTTAAATCAGAGACAGACCTTGACATAGATTATGCTGAATTTAATAATGTGACAGTAAAAATGGCCACAAGACAGCAGGTCATCTAATAAAGCAGAGGATCCAACTCTTTGTGGACTTCAAGGCCTAGATGCAAGTCTAGGGTTATACAGTTTACTTGATTTACAAGAAGCCAACTCCTAATATTAAGTGAAAGGTTTCTGTTCAACATACATCAATGCAATGACTAAAGTTTTTGTTGTTTACCATTTGTTCAGTTCCATACCTGTGCCTTTCTCTACTTTCCCCTTTGCACTTTCTTCCCTGCAATAGCTCATTGCCTATTCCCACTCCACTATTTCATCTTAGCAACAACTGACACCATTTTTAACAGGTTCTTATTAGGCTTTAGAAGCCAACACTCTCAATAAATAAAGGAGAGCCAGGAATCACCCTTCCCAATCACTGCTTTCAACTGAGGAAGATGGCACTGCTCAAATTACCAGAGCATGATCTTCATAAGAGCAGTGGCTACTTCATTTTGAAAAAAAGCAGAGTTCGGCAAAATGCACCATATATCCACCATATTAATACAGGAAATGTATTATTGCCTGCTCTTTGGCTTGAGTATAAGATCTCAAAACATCAACTTCTGGACATTTAAGAGCAGCCATGGATCCAAGTGTTCCTAGACTACAAACCCACATAGAAGGCAAAACATGGATTCCCTAGTTTCAGCGAGTAGGTAATCCTACCTCTAGGCCTTCCTGCCATTTTTCCCATCATCACATACTGAATCAATTTTGGTCATACAGATTAAGGAACATACCTATATTGCCATTAGGGTTTGACTGCATTTCTGCACAGGCACTCGAGCTAACAGCTTAGCTGTGTGCGCTCAGAACTCAAGAGACTTGAGCAAAAGCCAGGTGATCAGCCAGCTTTTCAAAGCTAGACTGCCTGCCACTGCTATCCAAGCTTATTCAGGTACATCTAAATGAGCACCTTTTATTGCCAAGGCATACCCTTAGTTGCAAACATAGTACCTCATCCAAGTAAAACTCTATAAAACTGATAAAACCATACTAACCAAGATCCAATTTTCAACTACAGCAGGGATGCAATTATGTATTACAAAAAAAATGATTTTCATGTTAAGTCATGTGCAAAAAATTACTAAGGAAGGAGAAGCCACACTGATATCCAATGGTCAGCAGCATTTTCTTTACCTCCACTCATGCCAAGTGAAACAGGAATTTCACTAAACTGAAAGTTTAGTTACCGTGTAACTGCTAAAGTTTACTTTCAATTGCTGTCTTAAGTGGGAAATCCCTGGTGGACCCAGGGTTGCAGCATGTGGCTAATTTTATAACTCTAGCCCAGAGCTGATAATTGAAAGTGATTTGGCCCTCTGATGCCCCTGGTCTAATTACAAACTTCCTGATGTAATTCAATGACCACAGAGCAGTATTAACAGCCACAGAGACTCCCATCAACCTTCTCACCCACAAGGGCAGCATAGCCCATGCAGCTTCTGTGTATTTATGTTAGGATTAGGGAGTAAAAGTGGCAAAGGCATATACTCCAAATCATTTAAGCCCATCACTATGAACCTCTGTACTGAGAAATGGAGAGTGGCTAGTAGCCTCTTTCAGTAGGATGCTAATAAAACCCCATATTCAGATGTCTGAACAGACACACAACTTCTGTCAACTACCCTGATTTCACTTCTGCTTGCCTTTGTTTTTTTGACATGCTTACTTCATAATTTTACCTCCTACTGTGGTTATTATTGCATAAAAAGGAAGTCTTTGCATTCTTATACTACTTACTTCTGTTTCCCATCAAAAAGTCCAGCACATTACTGTGTTGAAACTTTTTCTGCAGAATTTAAAAGGCCAACAACCTTTAAAGCCCTGGAGTTGTGTTAGCACTTTCCAGTGTTCTCAGTTTTCTCTTGTTTACCTCTGTACCCAGCATATGATTAGGAGAAGCATTGGCAATTGCTAGTTAAGCGGGCAAGCAAAGCAACTTCTAGTACACAAAAGTACCGAAGATGAATGTTTTAAAATCATTCCACATTTTTAAATTTCAGTTCTATTCTTCTTTTCCAACAAAGCTGAGCACTTTGCTACAACACACCATCACCTACTGAGAGTGTTTACAATACAGTGAAATTAGAGTATTTCATGTGAAGTACTTACAGCTGTTGCCTCAATTCAGGCGTATCTTGTGGCGTTCCAAGTTTATATAGTATTCTTTGTATTTCTGCAGCTGTTTATGAAGAGGAAGAGATTTTAATGGCGTACAGATATTCTTCCTTTATCATTATGAATTTTTACTTGATAATTCTAAAGCATTTAGCAGTTGATGGAAACTGATATGTGCAACTGCGGTAGGTCAAGGGGGAAAAAAGTAAGTTTTCAATAAGCCACAGTTAAATCATGGGCTACAGAACAAAGAAAAAATATGATGCAAGAGCTAGGCAGAAAGGGACAATATAAATAATTTCATGACATTTACTTTAGCACATTTAAGCCCAACTAACTAAACATGTATTTATATTATAGATTAAATAGAAACTAATATGCACACACAAAACGTACCAATTCATAGGCTTGTAATAAGCTGTGCAACTTGCACTGGAAATGAGAGAGCTCATAAAACACAAACTTAAAATACTGAGTTTAAGAAGTCAGGCTAATTCAACTTAATTTTTAAGTCATTCATTGTATCCCAGAAGAAAAACTCAGAATTTTTTCAACATTTAAGATTGTTCTATAAAATGAATCTCAAAATGAGCACGTACCTGAGCTTTGCTTTTAAGCTAATGTTTGGCTGAATACTACACACACAAGTAATTTTTACTTTGCAAAATTAGCCCCATCAGTACTATATCTAGCTTGATACATGCTTACACATTTTTAGAAAATAAAACACAGAGTTTAATGGGGAGAGAGAGAGAGAGAAACTATTTTGCCCACTTCTCTATCAACAGTTACTTGTCTTCCTCTAAAAGTACACTTGTGACTATCCTCATTCAAGCTTGTCTACCCACCCAGACAGCAGCAAATGTGATGATGTAATAAAATTCAGAACATTAACAAGTGCACACTGTATTAGGAAGTTTTGAAGAAAATTATAATTATGTTTTGCAGTTCTGAAATCAGTTACTGTGCTAAACCCAGGAAGCGTGTTGTGGCAGGATATATGAAAGTGATAACATTTTATTTATTAAGTAATATTTAAGTTTAGTGAAAGTTTTTATATTTTATATTAATTCATTGGATAAAGTAAGAATCCCCCCCACTTTTTTTTTTTAATTGAGTGGTTTTTGAAGAAACATTACATTGTACTTATATACAAGTCAAATGTTCTGATACTCAGCATTATCATAACTGCTTACTATGTAATGGAAATAAAAATGAAATTACAAATCTGGGACAACTGATTTCATGGGAAATTTAGAACTCATATTTGGACACACCAAACAGTGTCAAGTTAAAGACTTCAGAAAGTCTGTAGTAGAATTGGAGTGGTGTTGTAGCAGTGACTATTCAGAAAAATTTATGGGAAGCAAGAGGTTTTTGTAATATCTTTAACTGAACTAACTGTGTAGCTGGGAAAGTTGTTGTAGGAGTTTTCAGGTAACAAGGTGTCCTTCAGGTCTTAAAAAAGAAGCAGATCATTCAAGAAACCCAAAAGTTGACTTTACAGTAAAAGTTATTAAAAGTATTTCTATAAATCTAAAGGAATTAATATTGTTTTAGGTTTTAACAGATCTTCAACTGAATTTGGAAAAAAAAATAATTAAAAAGGAGCCTGAACCATTAGCATAGTTTGTGAACAATGCCACCCAGTGGCAAATTTGAGAGATCTTCTGGAGATAGGGCCACATCAAAGTATCTACTGAATATAGTGACCAAGATATTTAGGTTTACTGAGGTCAAGCCTTGTTAACTAGCATGTTAGCACGGAAAAACTAAGCTGAAATACGTTGTGATCACATTAGATATATAATGGATACGAGAAACAACAACAGGGGGATAACCCCCCGCAAATTCCTTCAATTAACTAGAACTTTGTTTAATTCAACTACTCTAAAACAGGGGCCAGAACAGCCTGAGTCAGATGGCTTCGGTGATGCATCGAAGTGGGCAGTGGGGTCCCACAGGATTTGGTCCTTGGACTGGTGTTATTTAATATCTTCATCGGCAATTCGGACGAAGGTGTGGAGAGCACCTTCTGCAAGATCACAGATGACACCAAGTTATGGGGCAAAGTTAACACACTGGAGGGCAGGGAGCAGATACAGACCGACCTGGACAGGTCGGACCAATGGATAGAATGAAATAGGATGCAATTCAACAAAGATAAATGCAAGGTACTCTACCTAGGGACGAGGAATCCCCAACACACCTACAGGTCAGGGAATGACCTCCTCAGCAGCTCGGCGGCTGAGAGGGATCTTGAAGTCACAGTTGACTCCAAGATGAACATGAGCCAGCAGTGTAATAAGACCATCGACAAGGCCAATCACACCTTGTCTTGCATTAGCAGATGCATGACCAACAGATCAAGGGAGGTGATGCTCCCCCTCTATGCGGCATTGGTCAGGCCGCAGCTGGAGTACCGTGTCCAGTTTTGGGCACCGCACTTCAAGAGGGACACGCAGAATCTGGAGAGGGTTCACAGGAGGGCCACTCGCATGATTAGTGGCCTCTGTGAAAGACCCTATATGGGGAGGTTGAGGGATCTGGATCTCTTCAGCCTTCACAAAAGATGGCGGAAGGGAGACCTTGTAGCCCCCTATAAGTTTATCAAGGGAGGACAACAGGGAATTGGAGATGTGCTATTTACCAGAGCACCCCAGGGAGTAACGAGGAATAATGGGTGCAAACTAGTGGAGAGCAGATTCAGGTTGGACATTAGGAAGAAATGTTTTACAGTAAGGGTGGCCAGAACCTGGAATGGGCTTCCAAGAGAGGTGGTACCATCACCTAACTTGGAGGTCTTCAAGGGGAGGCTTGATAGTCACTTGGTTGGCGTCATCTGACCTTGGTTCTCTTTCCTACCAGGGGCAGGAAGTCGGACATGATGATCCTTTGTGGTCCCTTCAGACTTGACAATCTATGAATCTAGGGTGGCCATCATAGAGGACAGTCCGGTTGTCCTCTATTGATATGAAACCTGATGCCTTTATGTCCTCTATTTTTCTCTTCAAGGAAAGAGAGTGAGGATTTTTCTCTGAGGAGTGAGATTCTGGAACAGAGCCCCAGTCAGAGGATGGCAGGGGAAAAAAAACAGTAACTGCTTTTAAAAAGATGAAGTTTATGGATTTACAAGACAGATTATACAATGTAGTGCTAGAAGAGACTGGGAAGTGAAGAGCTATTTTTCAAGATAAAAACAGAGGACATAAAGGTGTCAGGTTTCATATCAATAGAGGACAAAGTAGCAGAAAACCGGAATGTCCTCTATGATGGCCACCCTAGGTGCATCAGCAGCAGGAGAATTTGCCTGAACCTACACTGGGGCTAGGCGCTGCTGCCACTTTTCCCAGCCCTTCCCCCACTTCCTGCTGGGTCCTAAATGCAGCCTTCAGGCCACGGGGAACTGAACCAAGGCTGAGCAGCTGAAATTACATCTGCATTGCCTCCACTTCTCCCCACCACCCACTGGTAGCAATGCAGGCACAGGTAGAAGCTGTCCAGCTCAAGCCCAGCTCCAGCTCAGTCCCCGACCAGCTAAAAGCTAGCCACACTGCAGCTAGAGACCAGGGGATGGGGAGAAGCGATGGCAACGCGGGCACATCTTTCACTTACCAGCCCTAGCATAACTCTTCACTGCCCAGTCTCTTCAGCACAGGCATAGGCAGAAGCAAAGCTATCTAGCTCTGCAAGCCATAGCCAGCTGCAGGCCTTATGTTTCTGACCTCTGCTTCAAAAGGTTAAGAAACTGTAATTAAGACAAGTGGCCCCACGAAATGAATCTGGAGGATAGCTGATGGCCTATAAGTTATTAAGCTTTACTGCCATTAAAGTTTGAAGCAAATGATTTCTGATATACTATTTCTACAATCTATAAATTTTAAACTGAATGTGGATTAGAAAAAAAAAAATCTGATTAGACCTTAAGTATTTTAATTGCCAAAATAAAGAGAGACTTCTGCATACCCTTTGGAGGGAAACAACTCTTTTTGAAAGTGTTCTACATAATACACAGACACAGGAAAGCTTACTAAATTGGAGGTTTCTACTGCCACCTGGAGGATGAATTTTAAGTGCAATGAATGATTAAAAAGGAAATGTAGATTAAACACTAATTTAGGTATTGTGGCCTCTGATACCTTTGAACAAAGTCGGAATTTGCATTATAAAATAGAAATAATAATATAAAATATGTTTGCATACATGGGCCAACTTATTTCATTATACCTGTGCATCCCCAAAAGCCAGGAAATTGGACAGACCAGACCAGAATGTGCATTACACCGAGGGTGGTTTCTAAACTGCCTTATCTTATGTAGCCACCAAGAGAAGTTTTTTTCATCCAATCTCCTTGCCCAGGGGTTGACAACATATAGCTTGTGGAACCACTCAATCCAGACTGCAGAGCTGGAGGGTTTTGTCTGTGCATGGGCCTGGGCTGATAAATGAACAGCACCTTTCTGCTGTACCTATGCCACTGCTGATTCTCCCCAACCTCCCCTGCCGGCTACAGCCTGGGTGCAACTTCCAGTTAGTGGGGTTGTGCTAGGCTTATGCAACTTCCAGCTGGGCTCACATTACAGCTGGAAGGTGGGTGTTGGGGGTGTAAAAGAGAAGAGAGGCAGCAGCACAGACAGTTTGTAGCTGCCTGGCCCTGGTGCATCTCCCGGCAGCTGGAAGCCAGGTCTGCTTCCCAGTTGGGGAGAGGGGGACAGACATGTCAGTGATGAGGTTGCAGTTCCCAGCTGCTTGAACCACAGGGCAGGTTCAGGAAGAGCCCCCCACCCTTGCCTGTGCTGTGCCAGAGTGGCCCGTTTTAGCCCGCGGCTTGTTAGAGGTTGCCAGATGCTGTTTTGGCACATTGAGTCTTAGTCAATATGTGAAGACTTCTGGATTTTAGTATGCAACAACATCCTTTCAGAGGCAAACAATTTCAGAGTCAGGCTTACGATTAGGTCCCCAGGCAGCAGAGGGGAAAAGAAAACAGGACACACTTGTAGACAAATTAGTTTTCCCAAGCAAGTACTCTCTCACAAGCAGGATTTTACAAAAGCACCACCTGTA